GAAGCGCTCCCAGCCTGTTGAAGCCACGTCTCAGCTTCGGATGTCGCCTCCTCAACACTTCTCTCAGGGATCAAGACCCAAGCACCTGGGCAAGGTGCCTCACTCCCACGAGTGAGACGCCCCAGGTGGGTGCCCCACAGGAGAGTTGTCCGAACGACCCACAACCTTCTCCCGATTAGGGTATGCCAAGCAAACGGAAGAAACGGGCTGAGCCTCATGATTGCCAGCTCCGTTCTTGGACACAACCCTCTTCTTACTCTGTCCTTCAGCAAACGCCTAACCCACAGGCTTATGCTTCACATCCAGCTTGGGGGTTGCAACCGCATGTCGCCTATGACCTTGAGAAACACGCTCTTGTTGGAAGGTGGAACTCCTTGGCAAGACATAGTAGAGAACAGGTAAAGAAGAAGATAGAACAAAGAAATCTAAAGGAGCTAAGCGGTGCAGACTTCCCTTGTCCCAAAGCCTATAATGGCTTGGGCATGGAAACCCAGAGAAGTTCATTATTGCACAATAATCGTTTATTTATTTATTAATCTATGTATACGTGATAAAAAAATTATCCTGTCCTCGCGTGCTAGATAGCTTCCGAGGAGTAAGTGGATCGGAAAACTAAAAATTATCATGACCACTGGAAAGGACAAATGGATCATAAATCTCCCTGAAATAGAGCTTCTCCTTAATAAAATGTGATTCAATCTCTATATGCTTGGTGTGATTATGATGGACCAGGTTATGAGTAATGCTAATGAAAGTTTTATTATCACAAAACAGCTTCGCGCCTTCACGGATTCTTAACCAAGGACATGGAATGAAATTCGAGCTCTACACTGCATAGGGCAACCACTAATTGTTTTTTTGTTTTCCCAGGTAACAAGATTTCCCCACACGAAAGAGTAATACCCCGAGGTAGATCGGCGATCATGGCGGACCCGACCCAATTAGCATCAGTATAAACTGGAATAGAGTGAGAACTGTGATGCGAGAACAACATAACTGGGCCCGGTGAGCCTTTTAAGTAGTGGAGTATTGGGTGGATAGTTGTCGCACGTATGGGCGAGATAAATGAGTTTTCCCATAATGCGCTAGTAGTGTGTCTTGTTCACAGGAACAACATTGGGAAGATCAACCAATTTCTCATTTAGATACATTCGAACAGCCACCAGTTTGCAAATTAAAACGTTGGTCTCTCTCAATATGTTCATCACATATTTGCACTCACAAAGAAAAATGCCCAGAGAGGACCAGACAACTTTCATGCATACGAAGCATCAGAAAGAGGCAAGTCCTTTATTTCAAAGGATGAGGCGAGGATGTCTCTAAGAGATTTCAAGGCTGACATATCATTACCTGTGAGCGCAATATCGTCTGCATAGCAATAAAGATGATAATTCAACCACTAGAGGAATGCTAAAAGAAAAAGACTATGATTTGATTGGGGCCTGAGAGAACCTAAGAAGCACTAACACTTGCGTGAACTTATTGAAGCAGACCTAAGGGGATTGCTTCAGTCCTTAGAATGACTTTTGTAGTAGGCACAATTGTCCTCGAAAAGAAGTAAAGTCAAAGGCAGAAAACATAGAAATGTACACCTCTTATATGAGATCTCTAACATCCAGTTAGAGTAAGAGCCAATCCAAATTCACAATAAAGGATAATAAAACCCAAATGGTGTTCAGTATAACAACTGGAGCAAACGCCTCCTTAGAGTCAATTCCATAAATTTATGAGTAGCCTTTGACAACCAACCGTGTTTTGTTGCGTTCAAATGTTCCATCAGAGTTAATTTTAGTGTTGAAAATCCACGGGCAACCAACTGATTTCTTTCCATGAGGAAAGTTAACAACATCTCACGTATGATTTCGCCGAGAGCGTTCATTTCATCTATTACTACAACCTTCAAGGAAAGGTCTGCCAATGTTGTCTCAATAGTGGATGAAAGACGATGAACAATCAAGAAAGTGGCAAATGCTTGTAGGTCAGCAATACGTTGTAGAATGAGACACTTTGCCTTGAAATAAAGAGAACAAGTTTGATCGTGTTCTTCAATGGTAGAACTCACTTCCTTATTCGGAGCAGAAGTAATCTCTACAAGTGTGGTGTCCGCGGCGGATTCTAAGACCTACAAGAAGGCAGCGGGCTCAAGAGTAGGGGTATTGGAACGGATCTCAATAGAGGGTTTTATGCGCCTAACATAAACACAGAGAGTAGATGGAGGAGATGTTGGTCTGGTAAATGGTGGATCCAGTGGGACAGATGGTTCCTCGGGAACACTGGCTGGAGATGTAGGTAGCATATCCAAGAGAGTCAGAAAAAGAGTTGTGTCCAAAAAATCTAGCTCTACCTCGAGATAGTGTTGGGAAGTAGGCAAAAAATAAGAGATAAGAATGCTCGATTTTAAAAGCAGGGGTGTCTTTTTAAAGCAATATCTCAATCTCTGGAAGAGAGGGCTTGATATTGAAGGTTGGAACCGTTTATTGGAAGCCTAGGGATAATCCTACATGAACAAGCCCTATTGGCCCTCTTAAAAAAAGCTACAATATGGTGCCTCAGCAAGGTTAGAACTATCAACCAAAAAGAAGGAAAATATTTCCTTTTTGGCGAAGTGGTACAAATAATATGACAGAAAATTTACGTTAATTCCATACCATTTTAGGAGCACGCGCCCTATAAGTTGGACCTAATGCATTGATGCACTAATAACAAACATATTAATATCTAACCATCAGGTTTTGGGCATGGATTCTAGCAAGAGTTGTCTTTGGAATGCAAGGAGGGTTTTTAGTTCGGGAACCACTTGCAATAGAGGGAAGTTCAACTGAGACACTTCAAAAAAGAGAATTCTTGAGAAGCCAAAATGTTGGACTAATGCTAATTTAATGAACTAGTTGAGAAGGATGAGTCCCCAATGTGAACTCTTAGAGATAAATTTCAAAAAAAGATAGATGTCAGCCCATTGGGCCAATTAGATGAACTTATTGAAAAAGTCAAGGTCTTTGAGTGAACCAAGCAAAATAAGTTTCAAATAAGGTAAGTTGGTCTTTAAGTCAGCCAGATGACCTCTTTAAGAAGAGTGGGAATGAACATATTGAGGCAAGTTTAGGATAAGGGTCAATCCTTGGGTCAATCAGATGGACTTCTTGACAAGAGTTACTTCCCAAAAAGGAAAAATCAATAAGGCGAGGAAAGAAAGGAGAGTGTCAACAATTAACCTGATCACAATATGTCACAAAGAGATGCAACTTCTTGAAATGAGTTATTGAAGCACTAATTTCTTCAAAGAGTCAATGGTAAAAAATGAGGAGATATGTTTCTCGAGAATCACTAAGCTTATAAGATTCCTTTTGAACCACCCACGTCCATTTTGGTTCAATATTTTAGAATACTTTCTTTATAAACTTATGTCGATAGTGTTATGCTGGAGCCCGGTTCGGACTTTCTCCCGCTCCCGACTCCCACTTCCGCCAGTGATTCTCGAACCGCTTTGTCGCGAAGCGAAGCTTCGCTTCGGCCCTTTCACGAAAGGTCACGACGTCCGCCAGCACCCGCCCCCGCCTCTCCCTAACTGTTCCCGCCTCCAGTTTCACGATAAAAAGAAATGGTTCTCCTTCAGATTAAGATGTCACGGTGTTGTTCTTCAGTTTTCCTCGGGATAAAGGAAGGATAGAGGAAGGAAGGTGCAATAAATAGTTCCTTGTGGTGAAGGAAGAAGAAAGAAAAATAAGAAGATTGTTCACCTTTGGTTTGTTCTTGGTGACTTGTGGGCAGAAGAGAAATTGAGTTTATTTCTCTTGTAAGTTTATCTTCTTCGGTGTATCTGGGTGTAGAGTTTCTTCGGTGTAGAGAGAAGAAAATAGAGAAAACAAGAGAGAGCAACGAAGTGAGAGTGAGAGATTCCTCTTGTAAGTTGAGGTGATCGACTTGTGTAAATTTATCAAATAATAAAATCCTTTGCAACTCCGTGGAGGTAGACAAGTTTGTTGAACCACGTAAATTTGTATGTTTCGCTGTGTTACCATTTTCTGACGTGAATTTTTCTCGTTCGATTTTTCGCTTCATCAAAGATCGTTCTTCTTTTATATATTTTATATACCACAACTGGTGTATAGATCCAACAACAGATAGAATCTAGAGTATTCATAAAATTGGAGTTCCAATAGAGCTGAAATGACTTACTTCATACTTCATAGCCTAGAAGGGGGGTTCATGTTGAAGTTTATAGATAGGTTTGTCTTATATTTTCTCTAAGATCTCGGCTTATGAAGCAACTATTCATAAAATTTGAAGAATTCTTATAATCGCATATCAGAAAGTTGAAAATTAGAGGGAGAACAATCAAGTTCATAAGAATCCCAAACCGACTAGACAAATTTTTCAATGCAATGCATTGTTCTCAAAATAAATTAAAATAGTTAAATTGTTTCTTAATGTACTCATTGATCAAACAAGCTTGAAATGACATAACAATAATGACCAAGGTGCCTTATCATTATGATAGATCTACAAATACAAAAAAATGTCCGATCTCAAGTTTGAGAAAGCTTTAAATTGGGCAAATCAATTCGCAACAGAACTATAAAATTGAGATTATGCTGCTTGCATTTCTAGAAGAAGTTGTGTCATCATTAGCATTGGGTGCCAAATCAGTATTCTTGTATCATCATAGCCCAATACACTAACAACAACTTGCTTTACTTCGTATTGATGTTTTCCCTAATTACAGAAAGTTGAGAGATAAACTTTTTACACTACTTGTGCAAACTTTGAACCCTACTAATATAGAGGAATGCATAAACGGGCATACAATGAAAGAAAAATTTGTACGTTCCAAGATATTTAAGAAAAAAAAAATAAAAAAATTCAATACAGATGGAACAATAAAATAAAAAACAAAGCATACTCTTAACATTTTGAGATTAATGGACCCAATACACTAGAACTGCATCAGCATCCTTTCGCTAGAAGAAAAGAACAAACATTCACCTATAAAACTTTTGGCAGAGGAATTTGCTTTTCAATGAAAAGTTATTTATACATGAAACTCAAAGTTGAGATCACCACTTATTACATACAGATTGAGTAAATAAATTACATCTTTGCATGAACAAAAGGTAACAAAGTACATCTTTGCATGAGCAAAAGGTAACAAAGATAAAAGCTACCTGAAACTGCAGCAATGGAAGTATCAAAAGATAAATAAATATAAAACAAGATGAAAGGAGCGAGCTACGATCATCATTTTATCACTAACCTTATCCCAGTATTTGGGGTCTTAAGAGAATGAGCTACAATACCTTCAAATATCTGGAAATGAAATCTAAAGACGAGAAAATCAATGAGTTTGTAAAAGAAAGAATATCAACATATTTTCACATCTCAGATCGTGGGGATAACGGTGTCATTAGCACCTGCAAACAGTTTCAGAGAAAAAGAAACAAGGTTAATAACATGAAAGAAAGAAACTACTCACACAAATTGAAATATTAGATCTCAAAATTAGTACATCAGCAAAGCGAATTTGGCGACGTGGTAGTTTGGAAGGCTTTATGTCAGGTATTTGCTCATTTTGTAACTCAGAATGTTTAATGCTGCTTTCTTTATTCTGTTCAGTAGGTACAACATCACATGGTACCTGTTGATGCTGTGATTCTAAAGTTTTGGCGTCACTTTCTTGCCTAGGAGGAGTAGAAGATGCATAAAAGCCTTGCTTTCTCTGCAGCGTATGGATTCCAAAAATTGACTGCCCTGATGAACTCTTTGCTGATACAGAAGGCAAGGTGCGCAATAGCCACGATTCTGATGGTGTTTTGGGCAAGGGAGGGGGGAGAAGGAAGTGAAAATTTGAATTGGTCTTTGATTGCTCTTCCACTTCTAAAGGGAGTGATCCAACGCTTTGATTCCTAGCAGAGTGAAGAATCAAATCAGAATCGTGAATCCCAGATGATTGGGGCTGCAGCACAAATCCATTATGTCTTTCTGACCAAGGGTTCTCTTCCATTCTTTGATTATCCGCTATAACTTCAGAAACCGCATAAGCAGATTCACTAGTTTCATTTAGGGACCTAAAACCTTTCTCGCTGTCAGTAGAAGTGTGTTTAGAATGTGGAATTTCTACCAGAAGTGAATCTACAATAACAGAGTTCCCCATTGCAGGACTCAGAATACCTGAGTCCTGCCGGCTTCCATGGCTAGTACTCATTGCATAAACTCTTTCACCATCGTTATCGAAGGACTCTGACCCATCACTCTTATCATTCTTCGCATCCCTTTTAAGAATTTCAACAAACGCCTCCCGGCTGCCTCCAGAATGGCAGCAAGAAGAAGATCTATCTAATGTCTGCGAATCGCTCAGCTGCCCATGCTGATTAGACTTAGTCGTCGTGCTCTTGCTCTCACCTTCCTCATGAAAAGGAATCCCCAGTCTCAGCTTGTGTTTATAAACAGCTTCCCACAGCTGCAAAACATGGTATAAACAATGTAACAGCAGGCTACATAGGATTCAGAAATTTAATAAGGATTCACCTCATTCTCAGCCTGAGAAAGTGGTCCATCATCGTGCAAGATGCTACCAATCTTCTGACTTGTTGAAGGTGGAAGGCGACGTTGTCGACCTCCAACTTTCATACCAGTCACTGGATTCAAGAGACAAAAGGAGTTCTTCAAGCAGAGCCGAGGTAGAAGCCCGCATGCCTTCGATGCAAAATTTCCTGAACCCTCATCATAATCACCATCGTCATCACCATCAGAACTGCCAAGTTCATCACGAGGATATCGAGCAACAAAGTATGGCCTGTGTTGATAAGGGAGGGGTACCCGACGGAGCCGATGCTCTCCATTCTCAACCCTCTCAACGACCTTCGCTGGCTTCCAAGGAGGACATTGCGGCGATCCGGCAACCATCGCTTGGGCGGCGGGAAGGAAGCGGTCCATCATCAGATTCCTAACATCTGGATCGGTGGAGAAGCTTCCAGAAGGGACAAAGGCATCTGGAATACCGCTGAGGCCGCTGATGCTGCAGTTCATGAGGAAGGATTCGCTCCGTGATAACGTCTCGACTGCCTCCGAAAAGCTATCTTCCACCTCCGTCACTTTCAGCAACTCCCCCGAAGCCATTACTGCTGCATCCTCCATTGGCTTACCCTCGTAGATGGAATTGGGGTTACTAAAAGACCCATCAGGTCCAGCATCGTTTGGGATCCATCCAGGAGGAAGAAGAGGGACCGGCGGAGGACGGACGCGAGGAGAGACGCCGGTTTTGGGTTGGCCTGGCTTCTTCTCCCATACGAAAGGCACTACTCCGGGGTTCCGCACAGGGCCGGACTTGAGGTCCGACTTGTAAAAAGGAACGGCGGATCTCCGAGAAAGGGTTGGCGGCTTCGCCGCCGGCTCCTGTGATTTAGTTGAGGGTTTCACCGGCGTTGGGACCGAGTGTCGGCGGACAGAGAGGAGCGGGATGTCGAGGTCGAGACGCTTATCTTCCATCAAGCTCTGCGCTATGTCACTCTCGTTTCCGGTCCAAAGATTGGAGATAAAAAAACAACAATCCAACAATTCTATTTGCGCTCGACAGCGATCGCCTTGCGGCGGTGTTCTGAGTAAGAAGCCGCAGTGAGCTGGTAGGTCAAACGTTTCTGTCTGGCAGCTTCTCCTTGCTAGAAAGCATCGCCGCCATTCTTAAATAAGTGGGTGTTTCTTCCTCTTACAGTCTTGGATCGTCCAACGAAAGAATTATTCTGTTAGATGCGGAAGTTAATTTAAAATTCACTTATTATTATTTTTATTATTATTATTATTTTACCCTACAAATACATTTTAATCTCTAAAAATGAGAGAAAAAACACTTCTAACATGCCACCTGACCCTACTCGACCCGTTCTATCAAAAAACAAACATAACAAATACAAAGGTCGAGATTTTTTGTATTTGGGATTCATTCGACGTTTTATATTTTGAGATCGTCATCAAGATCTCTAGGATTTGCTCTGTGATCTGTAGTTTGATATTTTCTACCTCCGATATTCTTTTGCTGTACTAAAATTAGGTTTTATCATTTTATCCATTTTTCGATTCAATTTCTTTATTTTATGTTGCTGACATTTTCTCATTATAGGGCTTCACATGTCTGTTTGTCTCCCAGCAAAACGAAGAAGAAGAGACTTGAAATTTGTTATAATCAAAAGACAATATATGATAGTTGTGTGTGATCCAAAAGTTACCTTTTTGGTTAATAAATCAGATGAAATACTTGTAAATGTGAGATACTTTTTTCTTAACGGATAATTTTCTTTTTGTCTTTCGGTGCATGCTCCTAAAATACAATGATGTTGTATTGATTGTACAGATTGATCTCAGTATTGATCAGTACAACCGATGCAACATGGTTGTACTGAAATGTTGCAACAATGTAAATATTGGTTAAAAATCTGAATAAAAATTTGATTGATTTTTTTGTTGTACAAACATGTTGTATTGGTTGTACTGATGGAACTCGGCACAATCGATAAAATATGGTTGTAAAGATTTAAGATAGAAATATTGATTTTTGTAGAATGAATTTTTAATTTTTGATATTCCTCGTACTGACAATTATCTGATTATTTTTCATATACAATCAAGTTGTAATTTACTTACTTAAATAATTCGGAACAACTGATACAATATGGTTGTACTGAATTAAGGCAGTAAAATTAAGTTTTGTTTAAAATCTGAATAAAAGTAAAAATAAAAAATGTGTATATAGATGAAATTAATTTCTAATGCTTGTTTTTTCCTCGGACCTACGATTGTTTGATTTTTTCTTTTGTACAATCAAGTTGTATTGATTGCACTGAGGCAAGAGGTAACTCCAATACGATCAATACAACATAGTTGTACTGAAGTAAGATACCGATATCGAGTTTTGTTTAAAAACTGAATAAAAATAAAAAATAATATATCGATAGAATGAATTTTTATTTTTTTTACTTTTTTCTATGATTGTCTAATTATTTATTTTGTTCAACCATGTTGTATTGGACGTATTGAAGGAACTCACTACAACCGATACAACACAGTTATACTGAAATAAGCAGCAATTTTAAGTTTTTTTTTTAAATTTTGATTAAAAATAAAAATAATAGTTATGAGATATAATGAATTTTTAATTTATGTTTTTCCACATACCTACAATTTTATGATTTTTTCTCTTGTGCAACTAAATTGTATTGATTGTACTAAGGTAAGTCATATAACTTAGTACAACCGATATAACATGGTTGTACTGAAATAAACACCCAATAATTATGTTGTTTTACATCGACATTTTTTATAATTATTTGTTTTATTGTTTCACTTGTGTATTTAAAAATGTCAATAGAATGATCAACAGAAGAATTATGTTTAGGTGTCGACCCTCAACATTCCGAGCAGTATGTGATGAATTTTCACAGGAGATTCCAAATGTGTCGTTATATTGAGAAATCTCTGTATTCACCACATTTTGAAGGTTCCACCCATCCAACAAGATGTACTACTTATTGTGGAGATTCTTTAGTGTTGGAATGTTGAGAGGCAAACCTTTTTTTTTTTTGTGGCCATGAGCAGAAGTTCATTTTAGATGAAGTAGCTCTTATGATTTGTTTAAAGGACTGAGGAATCAAAGCTACTTGAATGAGGGAGCCTCTGTCGAAGTTCACATGCAAAGATTTAAAAAATAAAATAAAATATATAATCTTAATAAAAGTTGTTCGGAAATTAATAAACTTTTTATTAATTTTTTTCTTACAAATCTATTTTTTCCATACAACAACTATAAAATACTTAGGGATCTTTTGTTTTTTTCTAGAAATATAAGTGAATTTGCACAGTATAATAGCTAGAGGCTAGATGGAGGTTCTTTGCAGACGAATTTGACGGTCTAATTAAAATGTCAAGGCTTCAGAATCCTTTTGGCTATATGAGTGGTTATGTTGCTATTTTGATGATAATTTTTTTTAGTATACCATGTTTGTCGATATGCTTCTTTGTCGGAATGATCCTCATTACTTGCATGCTAATGTATTATATTTCATTGTATTCCAAGTATGAATTTTTGAGCATACCAGTATTTTTTTCTTATAATGCCACTGACAAGACCACGTATAATGTGGTGGTTGAAGTTAATAACAATGAGAAATAAGAACTGCAATATTTTATCTTTCGGAGTTGCAAGATGAACAAATAAAAACTTATGTAAAAATGGAGATAGACTAAATAAATAATAAATTTATCTATTTTTTTACATGTTTGTGATTATTTGAGGAATACATTCATTTATGGGTCAACCTTGTTATCTGATCTTTCAGATGTACGTCACTCGCCAACAACCACCTCTTCTCCCTCCCCAAGAGATCAACTTATTCAAATTTTGGAATCTACACCAGTGGCCACAAATGAAGTCACTCATAAATATGTACATATTCCTTTAAACATTAAAAATTATAAATTCATTATGTTATTGAGTAAAAGCTTATAGTTTTCGAAGCTTCAATAAATAATACACTCATGCAGAGTGAGATTGTCCAGAGCAGTGAGAGGACAAGATTAAGTGTCGTGGAGGCACACGAATAAGGTGTGTTGTATTTAAAAAGTGCAACATGGCCCATTATCGCCAACATGTAAATAAAACAATAAACACACCTCCTGCCAATTTAAATCCAATAAATGAGGAATTAAACATAGGAATATCAACCCCTCACTCCCAAAATAAGATTGGGGAAGAAGAAGAATAAAACGGAGAAGTCATTCACCCAACTTAGCCTACTCAACATCAATTGGAGAAGAAGAATAAGTGAGATTTCATTCACCAAACTAAGCCAACCCAACATCAACTGGAGGAGAAGAATAAGGGAGAAGCCATTCTCACAACTAACTCAACTCAACATCAATTGGAGGAGAAGAATAAGGGAGAAATTATTCCCCTTTTCTAACTCAACCACAAGTAGAGGAGAAGGAGGCCGGAATAAAGCATGGTGAACATAAAACAATTGTAAGTGTTGTAAAGCATAGAAAAGACAGGAGACAATTTATGGTGAGGAATCCATGTCTAGCCTCCAATACATTAAAAAAAAAGAGAAAGTTAGGAGAAAAAGAAGTTGTAGCTAATGTGCAAATATTAATAAGGTGTGATCTACATATATTAATACTTTACTTAAAATCCTTTAATTATCTTCATTTTTCTATTAAATGCTTTATTATTGTGACAAAAAGTGAGAACAAAAAAATTAGGAAAGTTAGGATATAAATTGGACTTGGAAGAAGGAAAAAAGGACGTAATAAGTACTTCACTATAAAATATCAAATCATTATGAACTTCACTCTAAATAAATTTTGTATTAACATGTATATCTTTCCATACATTTAATCCACAAGAGTGGCCATAAGAGCAATACATATCACATGCTCCATTCTCATTGTGCACAATCGTGCTGAACAATTTTTTTTTAAAATGATTCATAACTCTTATGATTGACTTCATCAGTTGCAAGTTCTAACATAGGGTTCAACAAATTGAAGATAAAATAAATCAGTAATACCAATAAAACATTGGATTGTTTCATTCGGTACAACCGTGTCGTATCGGTTGTATTGAAAATCAGCACAACCCATACAATATGGTTATACAAGTAGTCATAAAACAATCAATTCTATCCATGAGAAAAAGAGAAAATTATAAATTCATTCTTTCCATATAAACAATTCTTTTTATTGTTATGATACAATTTTTTACAACAGAGAGAATATTGCTTCTTAACTATTGCTATAATCGTGTTGTATAAGTTGTACTAGGATAAACCAATACAACCAATACATCACGGTTGTACAATTAGAGATAAATCAATCAATCTTATCTATGAGAAAGAGTAAAAATTACAAATTCATTCTTTCTATATATACAATTTTTTTTTATGTTACAATTATTTCAATGGATACAACATTGTATTGTTCCCTTCGGCACAACCATGTTGTATCGATTGTACTAAGATAAATCAATACAACTAATATAATAAGATTGTACAAATTATGATAAATCAGTCAATCATAACCATGAGGAAAAACAAAAATTAGAAATTCATACTCTTCATATAAAATTCTTTTTATTTTTAAGATTTTTTACAATAGATAAAAATTGAATCATTCACTTCAGTAATAGATAAAACATTGGATTGATTTATCTATGAGAAAGAGTAAAACATTGTATCGATTGTAATGAGATAAATCAGTACAACAAACACAACATAATTGTGCAAGTAGTGATAAATCAGTCAATCATATCTAAAAGAAAAAAAAACAAAAATTAGAAATTCATATTTTATATATAGAATTTTTATTTTTATATTACGATTTTTTACAACAGATAGAACATTGCAACGTAATCGTTGATACAATCATGTTGTATCTATTGTACTAAGGTAAATCAGTACAACCAATGCAGTGTGGTTGTATAAGTAGTGATGAATCGATCAAACATGTCCACGAGGAAAATCAAAACATAACAAATTCATTCTTTCTATATATACAATTCTTTCTATTGTTATGTTACGATCTTTTACAAGAGATACTACATGACTGTATTAGGTAAAATTAACCAATTCTAGCCACAAGGATAAACAAAAATTTAAAACACATTCATCAGCACACAATCAAAATAGTCTCCTTCGAATATGGACTATTAAATATTACATGCAT